CCCCAAAACCCCAAAACCCCAAAACCCCAAAACCCCAAAACCCCTCTATATGCAACAAATGCTGAATTATTAAAAATATTTAATCATGGAGGAGACAAAGTATGATCTTATTGTTGTTGGCCTTGGGTGTGCTGGCCTATCAACTGCTTATTATGCAGCCAAGAAAGGAATGAAGGTACTTGGCATTGAAATGAACGAAAGTGAAGGAGCTATTGGTGGCAGCTCTACAGGTTATACTCGAATTTGGAGAACTGGACATACCAGCCCAATAAAAGATGTCATGATGGAGGAAGCATATGAGCTATGGAAAGAACTTGAGAGAGACCACAATGAGTTCTTTGAAGAAGATGAACCAGTTAAGCTATTATATAAGAAAGGAGCTTTAATGATTGGGCATCCGAAACAGTAAGGGTTTTCTCTTTAAAATAGTGTTATAAAATTAAAAAGTTCTTAAGATGCTTTGCTTTCTCTTTTAAAAAAGCAATAAAGCTTAATAGATCAGCAATAAGTCATTTGTAGAATCTATCTTTTCTTGTTTTAATTAATTATTAGCCCTGATTACCCAAGTGTCTTTTCATCTTTTGATAAAAATAAATTTATCAAAAGCTCCGAAATAATGAAAAGATATCCAGGCTTGAAAAATATTCCAGAAGAATCAAATTGATACATCATCCAAAATGCTGGAGTTGTGAAATCAAAAGATGCTCTCACTACTGCTCGTAAATTGCTTGAGAAGAAATATGATGCTGATCTGAAATTCAACACCAAAGCTACTGATGTAACATCCAATTCTGTCAAGATAGAATCTGGAGAGATATATAATGCCACGTATGTAGTAGTAGCTACAGGCCCATATACCTCTGATGGATTTGACAAATCTGAAGCTGTTGCTAGCTCTTTAGAAACTGAAACATTAACCTTTACATCAAATGAGGATCTGCCACCTGTGCATATTGAGCTTCTCTCAAATGGAACTAGATTTTACTCTCTTCAAGATGGTGCAGATCTTACAAAATACAAAATAGGTATCCTTGGGCCAAGGTCAATCTCCAGTACTCTTAAGCATATTAGGAACAGAATGCCTGACAAAGTTGGTTTGCTAGAGTAAGATTTAAACCTTCTTTCTTCTAAATACCCTCTGAGTAAACGCCCTAACTACAATCTTTATAGATATGGATCTCCATGCTTCTTCACAATGGTCGAAGGCGGTGATTTCCAATACAAAACTAGCAAGGAAGGCATCCACTTCGTCTATGGATTTAGTGGTCAAGGCTTTAAATTCATGCCACTTCACGGTAAAGTAGTCTACCATGGTCTTCTCAAGAAGGAAGATCAGAAATATATACCTGATTGCTACAGAGCTAAGATCTAGGCTAACTAAAACTATCTCTGGTAGAGTAAATCAATCTTGAAACTTAATATTGGGGTTTTGGGGTTTTGGGGTTTTGGGG